GACTTTGGAAACAAGGCCTAACTCATGAAGATTCTCCATTTCATCACATGGAAATGCTTCCCTGATAGCACGGGCTGGATCGCTCTGGTCATCGCGCTGTTCCCATTGGTGCGTCAATCCCGAGGTAAGCAAACCAGCCCTTTTGGCGTTTCGTCTGGGACCGTATGCTGAACGTTGGGGAGGGGATGGAGTCCCCGACGGTGGACGGACCACTTCAACTCGGTCCTTAGAACCGCCACAATTTGGTGCTTACCTCAGAACTAAGCCTTAAAGAGAGGACGGGTCCGTCCCCTCTCCAAGGCTTAGTCCTGGGTAAGCAAACCAGCCCTTTTGGCGCTTCGGCTGGGACCGTATGCTGAATGTTGGGGAGGGGATGGAGTCCCCGACGGTGGACGGACCACTTCAACTCGGTCCTTAGAACCGCCACAATTTGGTGCTTACCTCAGAACTAAGCCTTAAAGAGAGGACGGGTCCGTCCCCTCTCCAAGGCTTAGTCCTGGGGTGAGCAAACCAGCCCTTCTGGCGGAGCTGCTGGACCAGCTGCACCACTTGCGTCAGTACTCTCCTATCGTACCAACCGAGTTGAAGTAAACCGTCGACCGTTGGGGACCCCATCCCCTCCCCAACATTCAGCATACGGTCCCAGCCGAAACGCCAAAAGGGCTGGTTTGCTTACCTCGGGATTGACGCACCAATGGGAACAGCGCGATGACCAGAGCGATCCAGCCCGTGCTATCAGGGAAGCATTTCCATGTGATGAAATGGAGAATCTTCATGAGTTAGGCCTTGTTTCCAAAGTCATTTGAGTTATTGATGAAAATCGCTTTACTATACTCACCCATGCCTTCACAAAAGCCAAGATCAGGATATATGAAAGCAACAGCTTTCAGAACTCTCCTTAACGCGTCGATTCCAGCACCATTTTTCTTCCAGAAGCAAATGTTATTTGGGAGTGTTCTCAATAGGCTACGCTCTATCTGGACTCCTAAATGAGCATTCCGAAGTGAAAGAAGCAATCTGCTGAAACCATTTTTATAAGGGCTGTTTGAAAACCACATCAACATGTTCAAAAAAAGAAAAAAACGGAGAAGAAATTCATATTCTATGAGCAAAACGCCCTGCTTCAGCGGGCACTCGAGCGTGATAACAAACACCAAGTCATACGCGTGAATGCGAAAAGCTGTGGTAACTAGTGGCTTGAAAATCTTGGAGAATACCTATAGACGGTTTATCCTGAGCAGATTGCCGCAAGACCTCGTCGTAAGAATAACCAGCGACAGCGCGTTTTTTAGTAGCACCAGCAAATCGTGGCCATAGATAAGGTCGCATGGAATGAGGAATACCTGAAAACGCCTTGGATTTTTGACAGTTACTTTAAAATCACCGACCAAAAGTCCTGCGAAATTTCGTACGAATATTCCTCAACCATGAAAAAAAGAAGGGAATTTCATGAATAAGACGTTCAGCCGAAAATCAGTAAAGTGACTAGTAGAAGAAAATACAAGGGAGGTCGTTCAGGGTGTGCCAAGCTTTTTCAAAATGGTTTCTTGCATGACATTGGGGCACATATGGGGACCACAGAAGCATGGTTCATTTTTCCTGAACGGCTCTCTGAATACCAGAAAAGGGGTCCCTAGTTCGATTCCTCGTGGTGACAAGTTTTTGCATTTCGAGTTGACGTTTCCAAATTCGCGCAAAATGGAGTTAGCATGAATAATTAGTACCAAATTCATGATTAGGACCGTCAGTAACCCTTACAAATAGACTTTGATTGAAAAACTGGTGAAAAAGGTGTGACTAGGGACCCCCTTTTCTGGTATTCAGAGGGCCGTTCAGGAAAAATTAACCATGGTTCTGTGGTTCCCGCATGTGCCCCTATATCATGCAAAAGACCGTTTTGAAAAAGCTTGGCACACCCTGAAAGACCTTCCTTGTTAGATAAATCTACTAGTACTGGGGTGGGTAATCGAATTCCAAAAGAGGGGTGCTAACCTCCGGCTTTAATTAGTTCCTCAACCTTCTCCGTATATAACGAATCGACATTCAGCTTCGACCACACTAGCTCTTCCTTCATGTTTGAGTGAGCAAATTCGATGGCAGCTAAGAATCGCATCCTGAAAGTTGATCCAAATAAATTTTCAGAGTAATTTTATAAAAGAAAAACAATCAAACACCCATCCACAAGAAAGGAAGCAAATTGTGATTTAGAAATCAATTACCAGTGTTGTTGTAATAAAGTTTCATCTATTGGCTTAAAAGTAGCCATCATAGCAGGATGAGCTAATTTCAAGGATTCCTTGGCAGCCAGACGTGGTTCATTGGGTAGGGAACCGCATGAAATGGAATGGGTAATTTTTTATATTTTTGGAAGGGTAGTACTTGCGTGTGGGGATATCTACGACAAATCTCGCACAATTTTTTTCTGAATAAATGAAAATGTACCTAATTTCAGAATTCTACGGGAATTTTATGAATTTCAGGGCAGTAGGATTTCAGTTAGGATGGAATTTTACAGTTCACTGAGCTCAGAAGAAGTTTTCAGACCGAGGTTTCTTATCGAGATAAACTGAGTATTGAAAAATCCGCATCGTTCTGGGAAAACTTCTCTAAAACCTCTCCGTCCTGACCACAACGTCCGAGAAGCTGGAAGCTTCACCCAGTACTGAACGTAGCCAAATACGATTATCGTAGCGGAGGACTCTTGACCTCAGCTTAAAAAGGACCATACTTTTGGCAGGGAAGTGAGAGAGCACACTGAACCCGATTGAGTCGGCTTATAGACGATTTTGCTGCTAAAATTTAGAAAACCACACAAAATTCTCTGTTTATGAAGGTGTGTACATGCTAGTTATATAACTGCCTCTATTGTAGTATTTATACTCCATTACAGCTCAAAATTTAGCTGAGGTCTAAGTAGAGTGACCTTTGCATTGCTACTTACCTATGACCACTGTCCTCAATCTCGTCATCGGCAGTAGCCGAACTTTGGGCATCGTCCTTCTTCCGGAATCCGAATTCATCAAAACTAAAGAAATCATGGCAATGAAATCAATTACCATAGCATAAACAGTGGTCAAAAAATTAAAATACTTAATAGTAAATCAATAACAAATTTGTTTCTGTTCATGTGAACAAACGTTAACATGCAAAAGAAGCGGCTATATCATAGCCATATTGAAACTGTAATGACTATAAACCTTGACGACAGCCGTTAGGGGTGTCTATCGACATCTTTTTGAACTTTTTTAAAGCTATTACTACTTCAATAATTCCATTATCAGTAATGAATATAGTGCTGTTTCGTATCCGCCAATGTACGTATGTGGCACTTTTGAAACATGAAAAATGCCAGTTAAGTTGAGGAAACGAGTATCAGTCGTGCGAATGTGAGGCACATACGCCTCACGCTGTCGTCAGTTTCTTCAAATGGATAGTTTAAATACAGCGAATAAATAAGAAGGCGGAGCGGTTTTGGTGACTTCATTGGATGCCATTGGTGGAAGGGCGTTGAGAGGCGGTCTCAACCACACACCAGCGCGGTAAAGACCTGGTACAACCTGGTGATTGACTCGCCATGTGAAGACGCGAAATATTAAGAAAATATATAGTGATTCTTTTTTGGAGCTCATTTAGTGCCCTGGTCACAAAATAACACTGAGCTGGCCCTTCGACGCTAAGGCCCGGCATCGGACGACGACGACGACCCAACGCGTTAGCGATGGTAAGCTAAGGCACCATAGCTTCGACTGAAGCAATAACAAATAAGAAAGCAAAATAATAAAGCAGTAAATATAATAAAGTGCTGTTGAAAAAAACCAAATCTCACAATTCCTTCGGATCATCTATGAACGCGGGCACAAGATCAGCGTTAATAGCACAGAACGGCTTCTTATCAAGTGTGAATGTTGACGCATGGATCGGCTGATCGATCTGAAACATTCTTACGCTCTTAAACGGAGAATTTTTTTCTATCATAGATAGTAATCCGTCAAAAAAATCGGTCCTCCCAACATGGATAGCGCTGGCTCATCATGGGCTCTAACCAAGCAGGTGGTTCGGACGGACTCGGGCAAGATTAATAATCACCCAAATGAATTCAGAGAAGAGCGCAATTCTAATAAACGGCGCTGCATGGATGAAATAGGAAAACGGACCAATAATTTGACGAATACGCCCGTAGCGATTTGAAACGGGAAAATTTTTGTAGACTAGATTCATCAGTGATCACTAAAAGATTCATTGAAGTGATGAATCTTTCTAGAGATCACTACATGCACAGGTTCTCGCCACAACATGAGCAGTATAGAGCATGTGCAGAGGTAAATGAAGAAAGGAACGAGCAGTATACTGAAAGTAAAAAGTTGTTACAGCGGATTCCCCCATTACCATAGCCACATTACCTAGAACGACGGAAAAAACCTAACTCAAGCCCTAGTATCACCCCTGGGCGGGGAGTGATATACTGGCAAAAGGCGCTGTTTACCACGCGCATGTTCCGAAATCAAATCTTGGGTCGTAAGTCGCCCTGGCCAACCAAGCCTTCCATTCCTCCGGGGTCGGTTAATTGGTACCAGACTTGTCTGGGAGGATAAAAACACTGACTTGTACATCGGCTGGCCCCCGCAAGTCATTGTATAGGTTAGTCGCATTCGAAATGCGACTGTAATTCTGACAGGAAGTAGATTGCATGGCGCATCCCTAAAAGTGATTGGGTAACGCCAAATGCTTTATCCTTTAGCTTTTTAGACCCTAATGCCCTCAAAATCCTGTACCGGGTCCTAACAAAAACAAGTGGCATACATTACTATACTTAAATTCAAATTATCATCCAAATACCAAAACCGGCAAATGAGGTATTACTGCTGGAAGCCCGGGTGAGATTCCCTCTGCGTTTTCGTGGAAGGTCCAGAACTGCACCTATCAGCCCTCAGGGCTACGCTGAGCCCGCGTTACGTACCTCCGAAATAAGATATGCCCCTCCTTATGTCAAAATTCGAAGCTCTCACTTCTTTCGTAGTTTCGCAGACCTTCCGAGCCACAATTGGCATCCCATCGTCGTCGTCATCGATAACGTTCTCGGCATATTTCGCATTTTTACCTGAACTGACAGAGCTGCTCTTCATGGTCACAAAAATGATTTAATATTCCTCCATAATAATTAAATATTTTGCAATCTGATCATTGTAACGTAGTGATTCCCAGTCAAAAGAAGGAAAATTTCCCAGAAGTCAAAAAATTAAGAAACAAACGAAATCTTCAGGCGGCTCAATTTCACTACTGTCAGCTTCAACGAACCCAGCGTAGCAATAATACCAACCTCACCTTGCTTATATTTTGCCATATAATCGTCGAAAAACGCACCTATAAAAGCAATTAATTCAATTATCGTATAAAAAATAACTATCATTACAACCCAACAAACGGACTGTTGCATGAAAGACCTCGATGAAAACAAGCGTGCAACCAGTAAAAAGGCGAAAAGCATGGACCAACATGCAATGAGCAATGAACATGGCTGAGTGCGAATGCCATTCTTGGCCTGCGACGTCCCAACTCTAACAGCAGCCACGAATACCCACTATAAGCTTCTCCCCCGTCGCCTCTGAAACGCCGCGACGCAGCAAGTACTCCAGCCGCAAAGCCGAAGCCCGACTCATACAGCAATAAAGCAAGCACTCCAGACAGGCCTTTTCCTCCGTAGTGGACCGGCGAGCCGCCAGTAAGACGGGCCCCCATGTTCCTCAGCTCGTTTAATTCGCTTATTCGATTTGTTTGTTGACTTTAACGTTGACTTGTATACTGGTTGAATTACTGGAACAGATTATCAGCTTCATCAGTAGAGATGTATGTAGAGGCCGTAGTCACTTATGTGCAGCGCAGGTGGCAAGAGGTGCCATTGCAGTCATTGCAGGTGCACCTCTCCTTTGCTGATGACCCTGCTAGGGCGTATAAGCGCTTATCATTTCTGAGGACAACCCATAATCGAAAAAACCACTTGTAATTTCGTTGCCGAAAATGCGATGCAAAATTTATCTTGCGAGACCCTTCGAGACCTTCCAAAGACTGAGGTCAACTACCATATTGAGGAAAGTTTCGGAAATGGGCATCTCCCTAGAGCGGAGTCCCCCCCTACCACTATATCCAAATTCCCCTAATAGTGTCCCAAGCGTCGTAAAATCGAGTTCCAACAAAGTAAAGCAAAGTGCAAACATTTGTTAAGTACTAAGGGTGTTGAAAGCAAAACACCCCTTCTTTGGAAGGCCAATGGGTGAAATGTCGCTGGGGACCGATGTATCCCCATGTGTGGACCCGACCTTTTTCTGCCAGCTTTAAATGAGGCAGGTCTCCACAAAAGGGGCTCAATGGTTTGGTGTGAGATAACTGTATTGTGCCGACAGTAGCGCGCCCGAGAGTAACCGCTACGCCCGCGGAGAAGCAAATTAGACGCTGTTCGTGCTATGGCGAAGTGGACTTCGGCGCAGTAGATAGCGCAAAACCACTGCAATGAGGCGAAAAATTGCTTGACAAAGCCGTCCCGACTGAAACCTCCGCAGACAATTCGCGCCTACTTCAGCTGTCAAAATTGATTTCTCTCATGACGCCCTTTTGGATTAAACTAGGCCACGCAAAAAAAGAACGTCGAGAATGCGTCAACTTTAATGGAAGTGGAAGCGACACCTCCCCCCCACACCTCACCGACGATAACCCACAACCTCCGGCAAGCTAACTCGTAAATGATATCGTTACTTGATTAACCAGCTCACAATATTCGAAATAGTTACTTTGTATTCGAAAACGAAAATCCACAAAATGAGCATAAAAAAATTCATTCTGTAATGAGGGAAACAACTGAAAATTGCTTTCAAAACATATTGTAAATATCCCTTTTCAAAGCATCCTTATAACTAATTCACACCTAAAATACAATCGCACGTTCAAGCTGAGGGTTTCAGAACGATATCGATGATTTCACAAGCGCCGAATATTTCTGACGAGGAGGTCCAAAGTGTTTGACCCCCGCCGAGACGTAAACATACACACCGGTAGGATCATGATAGTACAAGCCCCTAAAAATGTATATTGATTATCTCTCAATGAAACGTAATGGGCGAAAGCAATGTAGTTGGCATATGGCGTGGTGGCCCATCACTTGGTGTTTGATTGAAGAGGTATCCTGGTGCCCGCTAAAACCGCCGCACTTGGGCGTGCGACGCGGCTTGTGGGCGTGTTCCGACAACTGCCTGACTACACGGCACTACTTCTAGCCCCGCGCAGCCTAACGGAACCTGCTAAACCTATTTAGAAGGTCGCCGAAAGCTTTACAAGCACAAGACAAAAAATACCACAGCTAAAATAAGTTTACTAATTTCAGAGTGATCACCCAGGAAGAAAGTACATGGATGTTGACATAAACACACGAGCGAATAAGTAAGCTGGTGCAAATGAAAACTTCCTCAAAGGGCTTCCAGATATAAGGGGGGGGGGGGAGGGCGAGAGTTTTGGAACTCGGTTTCTTCTTCACCAAATATTGCCCTTTTCCGTGAACCATAAAACTACTTCTAAAGTTGAATCAATGATTAAGGAAACTCACCTCGCGAATGCGTTGGCCAAGTAAATTATCGGGACGAACAAGTACATCTGGCCTCCGTGAGTGTGCCCTGAAAATGTCGGATAGATTTATCTGCGCTACTTTGTGTCAGCTGTGCGCTGCTCAAGCTATACATGAGGTTACAAGATTATGAGCTCCAGCTCTTACCTGATAATATCAGATCAAGTTTCTCGCTTACAAGTGGATGATTTAGCATTAATTTGGCAGCATTGGGTTGATGAGCAAGCATGATGACGGTGTCGTTCGGCTCACAACCTGATACCGCTCTTTCCGGATGCATGGCATGACCAGGGAAGCTGGAAGCACAGATACTGAGAAAGGATTGAGCCAGTACACTGATATCTGTACTCAACAGCACTAGTCGCGCAGATCCCGATGGAAACCCGAAAAGGTTCAACTTTAGCACTGCTCATAAGATGACCTCCAATTTAGGGCTCTCATGCTAAAGTCTGTGATTGATGGCCGCAATCAGTGAACCAATCAAGACGCGCCTCGCAGACACTGAGCGTTTCAAACAGAAAAGACCACAACAGAAGCTAGGAGTGAATTCGACCCAAGTTCTACTGACGGAGTTATGGAAATCGTGAAATAAATGTACAGAAAGCCACTTACTGAGCTTTGGCTGCATACAGATCGTCAGCGCCTGCCATACATATCTGGTCTGCTTTGTTGGTCACGAATCGTTTGTAAGAATTATGAAGCACTGTAATATTGCAGCTATCCAGATATGAGAACCATTCCTCCACATTCCCGTGCATGTACTCATGATTGCCTTGAATATAAAGTTTTAGGCCATCGAAATTAAAAATTAACATACATCAGTACACAGTAAACTATTATAAATAGCGGCCCTTAGACTAACCCGTTGCGAAATAAACTCCATATTTGGCCTTAAGTGAGCAGAGAGGAGCAGCTGCAGTTGCGAAATCCCTGACATAACCATCCGCTAAATCGCCAGCGATGGCGATAATATCTGAAAATTGGAGGGGGATTTCACTTGAGATCGTCAAAATAAATTCTTATGCACAGTTCAAAATAAGGGAAGAATAGGTTCACTTATAAACAGCACTATAATATTGAAGGGGTGAGCCAGAGCTATTTCAATGACAACAGAGCAATCTACTGGTAAGGCCCGCTCATGGTTTGTGATTTGTGCAACCTGGCGATTATGCATAGAGGAATGCATAAGTATCGACTGAGGGATCGCGGGGAGCGGTCAACAGAATCGTCCGGAGTGGCGCCGTCGCGCGCGGTTACTTGCGCGGCGTCGTAACGCGGCAGTTTTTCGATGGGCGCGGCAATAATTGACTTTGTCGATTGGAGCGATGAATTAGCTGCAGTCCACATTAATCAAGCGGACATCGAAGTCCATTTTGCTTGTCGAGATACCTTTTTCTTCCATAACACTGTGTTAGATCCACGGGAAAGCTCAGTTTTAGGATTGATTTCTGATTCAGGATTGGCCTTATTGTTTGAGGAGAAGAGAACTTCCGATGTGCGAAAGTTGTTTGTGCTTCTCAAGATTTTATCACGGTCTGTATTATACAAGACGGAGGTGACTTATTTCTAAGTACCATGAGAGCATTGCTCTTGCAATTTCTAACACTTCTATTCTAGTGTATAAACTACAATACTTTTCTGAGTACTGTCCTTAACATGGGTAGGAAAGATGATTGACACCTTCTCCTAGGAAACAATCATATTTATGTGCAGTAAACAATCATATTTATGTGCAGTAGTGGACGCAACAAGCAAAAGAATTTCATTGATATCAGAAGTCATCATGTAATAGTGAATTTGATATAAGTGACGCTTTATGGAAGAATGGAATGTCTTGAATTACCGTGCACGATTCCCTTGAACTCCAACCCTTCTATGCAGTAAAAACCTCAGCAAGGTCAGAATTCAGACCAAGAAAACAGAATAAGCAGGAAACTGAAGTGGAACTATTCATTCCCGCATCATATGGGAATGGGAATGG